CTATCTGATTTCTAGCTGAACTAATTGCAGACCACCTACACATTCACCTATCCAAGGGTTTCATTTTATCGACAATCATTTGAAGGTAACATAAATCCTTCTGCGCTACACACCTTAATGTGTGCAGAATTCTGCTTTGGTCATTGATACACAAGACATCGTCGCGTTGAATCATATTTCCCTATATCTACAAAGCTTTGGAACTCTTCGTTATGTTTTAGCGGAACATCCCTTTTTCATGTGGGAAATCAGAGGATGATAAGAAGCACGGTCTTCGTGAAGCTGATCGCTACGTGACATAGGAATTGGTTGTATAGATAGACACTTACCGGAAGTCTTGGAGAACTTGGCTTATAAGACAGTGTCCGATGGTAACGGCACTTGGGATTTTAACTGACATATGGTTTCCACACCCATACTGCACGGAGAATGATGAGTTGTAAGGAATCGTATATGAGCAGTTGTCACGTACACAGTTTCGATCTCCAGATGGCAATCATCTGAGAGTTTCAGCTGCTGGCCGGTAAAACCTCGTATAACAACATCGGTTGGAAGTATCGTCGCTCCCGGATCGACTCGTGTGAGAACATCCCGGTTTATAACGAAGTGCTGGTTGCCAGCATTTTTAATGGATACAGTTCTACTAGCGGACTGCTACCAATTGATTCGTTCAAGGACAAGTATCCCTAACTTAATCACACATCCAGTCTTTCTTTTGTGGTCTACGGCTGAGCGACTTAGGGAACTTTGCACAGCGAACCTTTTATATGGCCTAGCTTACCATTTGATTGCCAAGTGGTATTAGGAAACCGATATTCATCAGGAAAATGGGACTTCCCGCAGTTTCAGCACTTTCCGGTAGGTTTCGGTTTAGTTACAAACCGCCTGGGAATTGTGGTCGAAATTTTCGGCTGACTATTCTGCCGCTCAGGAGAATCACTTAGTAAGATTTGATCAACGTAAATGCTCTTGGCAGTAATGTCTTCAAGCTGAGCACAATTTGCACGGGCTTTGTTGTTGAATAAACCCGCTTTTAACAGTAAGTGTTTCGCAATTCATAGCCATCAATCTCAGTAATCAAACGGTCCCGAATTTGTGTATGAAACTGATTGCCGACATTGTACTTGGCATCATATGTACGAAATTGCAACAATAAATCTCAAATTGCATGTCTTTAGTTTGAACCAACAAATGAAACTGAGCACTTTCAACGGTTTTGAATAGCAAAGTTCTAGCTGAGTCTGTACAAACAAGGTTCTACAGAGACTATCGCATGTACCCGGTAGCAATCACACACAATAGTCACAGGCTAGTTAGGAGTCAATGGGTAATATAGCACGAAGACATGGTAAAGTGGATGTCAGACGTAGTGAGACCGTGCAAAACCTTACAGTCATATGCGGGCCTCGCGAGCAGGCAACAACCACAAGCCATTGCAGACATAGAAACGCGCCAGAATTGGGTCGCTAACACAGCTTTACAAACTAGCACATATACCCTCTCTGTTCTATTTGGCTCAGGCCTGTTACGTTCGTCGCTCGCGATCGGTTTTCCGCTGGTTCAACTGGACTGGTTTTGCGCCGCTTGATATCGTCCATGACGCCCATGCCTGGTTCTATCCTCCCTCTTTCTTATGACTTTCTGGTCTTCTGCATTCTCGTTACCTTCCCCAGCCGCAAAACCCGTCCATACTCAAAGCCGATTTTCCCTGGTGTTCCATAGCCAAAGCCCAGCGTCTCTACTCAGCGTTTCGCCATCTTCTGTCAAGTTTAAATTTCACTCCTCTTTGACCATGTGCCGTGTACGGGGATTGCCAAATTATCTTGAACTTCCTCGTACATTGACCCTTTTGTTCTAGCCCATCGTTTTTGCATAACTTGCCATCTTACTCTATGGTAAATAGTTTTCAATTTTGTACTGAATAACTATCATCGTAATTGCGCTTATTATAACGATTGTTTCCAACCTCGCGGGATGCGCTGTTGGATGTCCAAGCCAAGATCCTTCGTTATGCAGATGCCAAGTGCAGTACTTAGTTCTCGACTGATCAATAAATCGAATGAAATATCCTTGGTTGTCGAATGTATGCTGGTGCGAAACCCGAGTACAATTTCAGGCAATGCTTGCACCCACGACAATTGATTGCAGTTTATTCATGTTTGATGGTTCGAATAAACCGCGCTATCATTCCTTTGCTTTGTAGGTGGTACGGTGGAGCAATTCATCTTGGGAGCCGCCAATTGTCCAATTGTCCTGGAACGGATTCAATTCAAAGCAAGAGTCTTGGTATTGTGTACCTCACTGACACTTTAAATTGGAATAACTGTTTGATCTCTAACCGGTGCACCTTGTACCCATCTAGTGAAGTGCTCACTCACTACCAGTTTGTACTTGTTTCCATATAGACTCAATAGGTGGATATTCAAAAACATCCAAACTCAGACGTTGCCACTGTTCGTCCACTTCAATAGATCACATGGGTGGTCCCGGTGTATTCCTTTCATAGCTTGTTTAGAAGTTCGGGCAAATATGCATGTATGCATCTATGTCCTTTTGCATAGGCGGGATAGCCTACGGTGCGCTGAGGCTAGAGGTGGCTAGATCCTAACAGATGGTCTACCGAGTTTTGATGTTGTCGTGCCATGGGCTCATGTCCTGGACGCCTCCTCGTGGCGATCGTTGGGTGTGTTGGGTTAAGGTTTTCTCCTTGATAAGATCCAGGACACCAATCCGCATGAGTCAGTGAAGTGATCATGCGCTGGACCCTCTGCATTTTGGGTGTACACTTAATCGAAGGCTTTGGCTGAGGACCTGAGTCGTTCTCCTGTCAGATGTGGGTGCCCAGCCATTATACTAGTCCATCCTCTTCGCAGGTTATGAAGGGATCGGTGGCCCTCTTCCCGTAAAACCTAGCCATGGGAGACAACAGATCTACGGGTTATAAGCTCAACGTTCGAGTAGCATAATGCACGAGCGTCACGCATTGTCTCTAACAGATGGAAAGCATCTCCAGGTGCTCAATGGTTTGCTACTGCCCAGTTTAATCCAGGCAGCCTTCGGTCAAATTGGTGTAAACCCACCAAAACCCACCATTGTCTGGCCTTGTTCGCAGGTATGTATCCTACTACGGTCGAAAAGCATATATGAATCGTTCCAGTACCTCAAATACTGCGTGTGACGGACCTCAAGCAGATCCCAATCTATCTTTGCAATCACATTCACGAGCTGTACCTGCTCCACACTATCTTTTCGGTCATGCTATTGAGTCAAATGTTTCGGGCAGTGTCCATTAAGCAAACCAGTAAAGCACAACTGCCACCTCGCGTGCGATTGCCCACCAATGAAATCGTATGCCTGCGTGCAAAGCACTCAGCATCGGGTGCTGGAAAGTGCGCACACTACTGGACCGGAACTCCAGCGAGCGAAGTAATCCACTGGTCGAGATGGAATTGGCGCAATACGCCGTTGATATTACGACGTTCATTGAGATTCGACTCGCTGAGTAGACTAAGTTGCATGAAGCGGGTGCTGGCTACACGTTCTACAGGATGGGCAGCTCCACCTCAGCACCAAGTGAACATGGCGTCGGACTTGAAATATCCGATCGCCTCCATGGCCAGCTGGTGGGTGAACTAAGTGGCATCAGCGCGCGACTGATCATCGTTCGTCTACGACTCGGAAGAGGTAATTTTGCCACATTTATAAGCACCAACGTTATAACCGTATGTTATCCTCATGACATGCGTGATCAACCCTACACTCAGCTATCCTCCGTGGGACGGTCTTTGCCGAGGAGCGACCAACTATTTCTGCTGAGTGATTTCAACGAGCGTTAGGCGCAGTGCATCGGTGTGAACAGATGTCATTGGTCTGCATGGCATTGGTTCAGCGAATGCAAACGGTGAAGGTTGCTCTTACTGTGCCACTCATGGGCTGACGATCTGGAACACTCTGTTTGCACTGAATGCGAGTGATTTAGCAACTTGAACGTACCCACGGTGTGGTCACGCTCACCTGTTCGACTATGTCATTGTATGTCAACATGATATGCGTGAAGTGCGCATGACACATGTATTGTGTAGAGCTGAGTGTGGCACTGATCACAAACTGGAGCTGAACATCCATCGTTTCGGTGCGAGAACTCTAGTCTGTGAGACAACTATCCGCATGTTACTATTCGCTGACGGCTATGCGTTGTGTACACACAACGCGGATGAGTTGCAACCCATGACTAGTGCTCTGGCTTCGACAGCTTGCAAATTCGGGTTCACCATTAACACTGTTTCGGACCGATAGAATCGGAAGGGGAGGCGGTATGATTCTTTATTATAATACAAACCTCCGATGTGAAGTTATCGACCACCCGGAAATCCGAGCTCCCGATTCGCTTTGGTGCCGCCTCTGGTTGCGAAACAAGGACACATGCCTACTAGCCGTGATTTATCGCCCACCAAAATCAACTTCGGAAATGGACTCCAAGCTGAACGACGTTTTCCAGTTCGCTTTGAACAAGTTCTACACCCACATTCTTATCGCGGGAGACTTTAACGTGTATGACATAGAAAGGCCGGCAACCGACGGTATGCAGTTTAAAGCCTGCTTGCAAGAACTTATTGCTAGCCACCCTCTTTATAACCACGTAACCTCTCACACCAGACTTCGAATTTCTAACAAGCCGTCGATACTGGATCTTGTGCTCACTAACGAAGAACTCATGGTTAGCGGGATAGTTACAAGCACACCACTGGGTCGTAGTAATCATGTTACTCTACTCTTTGACTATATTTGCTATGCGGAGTACCCTGAGAAAGTAGAGGATAAAGTGCATACTGTCACACACTACAATGTGTTGTCTAAGCTTGTTAAGGATACATCTTGGACTTTCTTAACCGTATGCCCCCAGATGTTGCCTGGGAAACATTTACAAGGACGTTAATACACTGGTTGCGCACCCATCAGAGCAGAAGTCCTTCCAACCTAAAAACAAGCGTAATTCATTTCTGAGGAGCAGGACACGTAAATGTATGTCCCGGAGGGATTTGGCATGGCGAGATCACCATGATTGCCGGAATGCTGAAACCTGGACTACATACGTGACCCATCGTAACTTCTGTTGACATTGCAGCCGATGTGCAGATAACAGTGTATATGATATTGGATGTTGAACAGTCACGCTGACCTTGGAAAGGTCTGTTGCTGCGTGGTGGTCCGTAATTCCCCTGCCTTGGTGGCTGATAGCGTTGCCTCCCGAAATCACACTGAGTAGTCGATCGCTTGCCTTATCTCCGGCGGAAGGTAGATTGCTTTGTTCGCTTTCCGAACGGTATACTTTTGAGCTGATTGTGCCCCTCAAGGCACCACACCAACAGGTCTGTGTTCTCATCGCCTCTTCTACTTGGTCCAACTGTGCTGCCATTTGTATGGCTGTGTCCAGGCACTCGGGGGGACGAACGTGGAATTCCTTCTTAATAGAATGCGTTTGGACGCCTTCAAGCAACTGTTCCAGGGTGTGCTTGTCGCGTTCTGCGTGCCATTCTTCCGCAAAAGCTGTTTCTGTCATCCTGCGTAGGTCACGTATATAGGCTCCGATGGATTCTGCCGGCCACTGGTATTTGGCGTGGTACTCTCGCCGAAGTTCAGCGGGCAGGCCGGGCCTGTCCAGTAAGTGCCGATGCGAGACAAATGTTTCCTGGGTGACCATTTTTTCCAGGAGCTTAGTATCAGCCACGATATCGAAAGCCCCTCCTGACAGCAGTCCCACAATGACGGTACCGTGTTGCGGAACTGAGAAGTGCTTTAGGTAAAGTTGTACTTCATTTTCCCATCTTGAGTAAGACATTCCCAGTGAACCTCTTTCGGGGGCGGTAGCAGAGATGTGGACGCGGTCGGTAGCGGATTCGTAGACATCTACAAAGCATCTGATAGTAATTCCAAGACGCCAGAAATTCTCACACCGGGATAAATAGCAAGCTTTTGATTTGCATTTTCACTCTGACTGGTTGACTTCTGCATCGCTCCTGTATCCTGGAAGGGTCGCCAATTATAATATACCGACAAGGGAAAACTTCAAGGATTGAGACGTAACATCTAGTACGCAACACGTAGGCTCTATAAGGAAGAATCAATGTAACAGATGAGGTAAAGGAAAAGTTACAGTCAACTGTTCTCTTCAGGTCCTTGTCCTCCTTCAGTAATTGCGCAGGAATGTCGTTCTGAAAGGCAGACGGAAATAAGATGGGGTGGAAACAACGATTCAAATTCAACCATACACCGAACTAGTTTTGATCACTCGTTACAGTGCTTTAACTCAGCGCGTGACCTAGGGGGGGAAACCGAACGAATTGGACTACCAACCTAAAGAGCTTTCTGGGGGCAATGGAAAAGAATGCAGGCACAAACATGCCAAACGCAGCAAACAGGCGGTGCTCTACCGTATAATGGCGAAAAATTCGCAATATTTTCCACCGTTTGCAAAGTACGATAAACTGCAAATAACGCCCTACGTTAATTTTCGCTAAAATTGCAGTTTTGTTTTCTAAGCAAACCACGAAAAGAAGAGAGTAAGACATGAAAATCAGAGCGGATAGATAGATTTCAGGTAACAAGCCGCATCTAATACGCCGGAGCACAGCATAGAAGTAACGATGGTTGCGACGTGCGACCTGAAAGACCGAGAAAGCTGGTTTTTCATGCGTAAGTAATTGAAAGTAAAAGATTAAGGAGTGTAACTTCGCGATCATGCTAAACGATCCATGCAGGACGTTAGGTAAACGCAGTGTCTGTGGACTCGCTTTAATTAGTGCATGGTAAGGCGAACCCCTCGAGCATTCTTTTGAGGTTACTAAGACTTAGCGAAAGGCAATGAAGGAAAAATACTTTTCTGTACCTTCAAGTAAACTGACCTTGCTCTTCTGGTTAGCAGCGTGCCCAAGGCTGTCAGTAAGCTTGCAACACCTAGATAGTACATGCTACGATACCTTCAGACTCCTGGAGCCAAGTTTCTACATCACCGTCAGCAAACTGGGTTTGCTAGGTCATATATATTATATATTATACACAATCTGTGGTACAGATATTGTGCCATCGAAATCATGGCTGAATAGGAAAACAATATGAATAATAAGAAAAGAGCAACAATAAATGCTTTTTTGTCAAGTTTACCACTCACAGTTTTTGAAATTTTTTTAGTTTGTTCTTTTTTTAGGGGGAGGAGGAAGGGACACCGCAACACACTGATGCACACGTCCGCCATTGACATCGATCTTGAGCCATAACTTCCAAGGTTTTCAACCAGCAAGTATCCTCATCTCTCGGACCCCAACCAGGTAGTCGACAACAACCGGCCGAGGCCAATTGTTTCGTCAACTTTTTCATGCGGCTTCTCCATGTTGTAGGCTGTCCACCAGACCGTCTCTTCCAGCCCTGTCCAGCAAGTGCAAACAACGCACGACGGGGGTAACGCTGGACAGGCATGCGCAATACGTGTCCCAATCACCGCAGTTGATGCAGTGAGATGAACTCCTCAAGCGAGTGGCTTCCACGTCCCAAGACACGCTGTCTAACTTCCACATTGCTTACGTGGTGCTGCCACCACACACGGGCAATGGACCGCAGACAGCGGTGCTCGAAGACAGATAGCCTGCGCAAGTCATCTTTACGAATGGGCCAGGTCTCGCATCCGTACAACAGTACAGCAAGAACAGTTGCACAATAGACCCGCCCTTTGATGGAGAGACGAATATCGTGGCGACGCCACAAATGCCTCAGCCTAGAAAAAGCGAGGCGTGCTTTCGAGATACGCATCGAAATCTCGTCTCCAACAGCCCCGCCAGCAGTGATGCAACTTCCCAAGTAGACAAAGCTCTCCACAACCTCCAGTGTCTCACCAGCAAGCGTGAGTGCAGGCAGAGGCACCTGCCAGTCTTGAAGGAGAGCCTTGCATTTGGATGGCGAAAAGCACATACCGTACTTTGATGCTTCAATCGTCAAGCGGTTTACTGCAACTTGGACGACCTGTGGATCGTCACCCAGCAAGACGATATCATCAGCATAATCCAAATCAACAACTCGACTACCTGGGAGGAGCTCAACGCCAGCGTTCAAGGAATCGCTCAGAGCGTTCTTCAGGACATCCTCAATGGCAAAGTTGAATAGGAACGGAGAGATAGGGCATCCATGTCGAACTCCACTGGAGACCACAAAGGTAGGCGAAAGCATGCCATAAGCCCTAACCCTGCCCGAGGTCAGACTGTATAGAGCGCGCAGTATGGAGACGAATTCCTCCTGAATGGCCGCGGCATCAAGTTAGCAAGCAAGAACTGACAAAAAGCTCAGGTTTATGACACGCAACCACTGTTAACCCAACTGTTCCGTATGCACACATATACCGGGCTTACTTCCGTCCCACAAGGCAACATACATATGGAATAACTGCACGTCACTTCGTGCGTCGTTTCGCCTCAAATTTTGTAGGTTTGGCTGCCTGTCTGATGCACTATCTTCGCTATCGTAACTCACATTATGACCAACGCGGCGTTGTTCTGAGGCACTTAAGTTACATGGTCGTTGTTGCCTTATTCTTCTCGGGCTTACTCCGGGATGTGCCGAAAAGTGCGTTTCTGTCTGATTTATATTCGGTTCGACAAATACCCTTTCTGTTCCAGTTAGCTCAGGCGCACTACTGGTCATCGTTCGCGATCGGCTCTCCGCTCGTTCTGTGAGGCTTGCGTTGCGCTTTCGACGTTGTTCATGACACCTGTGCCTATTCTTGTCCGTTCGTGTTCGCGTGGCTGCTCTGTCTTCCGCGTAGTCGTTACCTTCCGCACGACTGCAACAGAGTAACTGAACATGCAATTGGAAACACGCTTGCAATGTGAGGATTCTAAAGCCACAGGATTCGGACGTTGGTTTTCTACACCTGTTTGGTGACTAACAATAATACAGATAGGTACTTTGTCATATAATTGAAAACACGTATCCTCTTCTTCATCTTAAGAAGCATTTGGGCAAGTTTACTCCAGATACATTAAAATCCGTGTTGGTAGCTGTTATAATACATTCGTTAACCAAAATGCTCTAGGGGCTTGTCAGTTATTCTGTCACGTTTCGTCACCGGTCCTGGTCAGATCAGCAGTGCGTTGGTGCCCAGCGTAATGTAGTGTTGTTTTGCAAAGGCACGTTTGAACCAGGTAGTCACGCGCGTGCGCTTTTATAGGTCACCGTCATCGGTCTTTTGGTCCTATGTCTTTTGATATAACCTCTTCGACCCAAGCCTAGTGACCTTGGCCTGTTGGTCTCCGCAGCTGAGGATGTTACCCGAGTTGTTTGTATCGTGACCTGTACAAATGACGTCGTTCGACTGCAGTAGTAATCCACTGCCCGTAGATTTACGTAGATGGCGTCCAACTCAGCGAGTCGATTGATGGATATTTTGTGTCAGGCCATGCTTATAAGAATTTGATTGCCTGCCTCGTATGCCCATGTGTTAGCCTTTACGCTTTCCAGGTCGAGATGGTGACTAACTTTATCCTAGCGTATCGAAATCAATAAATATGCGTCATGCCTTCTTAGAACTTTCATTCGCTCATTGACCCGTTAGGAAGCTTTCTTCCCCTTCGTCCTATGTAGTGCTTATCACATTCGCTGCAGTTTGACTGCTACTTTATATGGGTTTCACTGCTTGGCTTGATTTTGTCCTTTCAGGTTGTAGGAGATATTCTCAGGGTAACGTTTGATCTGCTTTCTGCAGTGATTGTGTGTTGCTGAAGCAGTAGTGCTGCAAGTTCAAAACCTTCCTTATTGTAATGAGCTGCTACACTTATATTTGTCAGTTTATGCCACTGCTGAGGTATTCTCATTTTCAGACATCTGCTTGTTTCGTGGATTTCCGTTGTCTTGTAACAGCCGGATGAATGATTCTCTACATTATTTTCCGTTTCCATTGAGCTGCTGCGTGTTTACGCTAGCTTGTATAGCGCTTGGATGGAGCAAACTGGGTAGGCACTGCATCGGACAAACGGGAAGAAAACTTTCTACCGGCTCAATAAGCATCGGAAGGCCATGAGAAGGCAGGAGCCAGTTTCATTATTTTCCATACACGAGCATAAATTTGGTCACCATTACGATCTAGAAAAGGTAAAGACTAGCACATGAGCATTCGACGTAGGCAATAAACTTCTTATAAGCATGGCCCAACACAAACTATCCATCAATCGATACGTTAAGTTGGACGCCATCTAGGCAAATCTATGGGCATCATCATCATTCTACACGTTAGCTGCAGGTATAAAACACCTCAGCTATTGTGCCGCCATACAAAAGACAAGAATAGGAAAACAAATAGTGGCACGCCGGCTGAGTCCCCAGTAACGGATGGACACCGTTCCGGAGAGCTAACAGCTAGCCATAGTGTCGTAAAAAGAGAGTTATATTATGCCTAACGAGTGAGATCATGGTTGGAGGGGATGCTAAGCAGGAGGGGATGAACAAAAAACTCACAATCCAAACGCAATTGGGGCCGGATCCAAGCCATATCAGCAAGTGTGTTCAACCAGACGTGTTCACCGTCCTTGGCTGGCTTGCCGAACAACCTCCTCGTGGTGCCAGCTGGGTGGTTCGAGATTTTCCCGTTCCAGCAAATGGTTCGGCGGCAGTGTTCCAGGACGTGGTGGGTTTTCGTCTGGCAAGCGTTCTCCCTATAAAAAGCCACATATGTCCGTTTAACAACACTGTGACGTGGCGGACGTGACTCGCCACTAAATAAAGTCACTGCCCCTTGCTTCATCCTGGCGAAGCATTGTATTCCAGCAAGTTGATGCTGTAATTTCGGGGAGCATTGGGCCCCTGTTTGGCAAAGGAACAAACGAAAGGCGTATGAACTGATCAATCAGTCACCGGCTCCCAATGGGCGTGATTCCCTGAATCCGCTCCGCTGCCTTGCGGACAGGCTATTCAGCCCAAGGCTCGGGGTGGTGTTCCCTAAGTAAACACCCTACTTCGGCTTGGGCAACCGGGTAGTATTTCGCCCTCTGACGAAACCGTGGACATTGTTGTGTTGTGTTATGTTTTCTTTTACTATTTCTGTACCTTGTTTTGAGTTCCATGGTTTCCGATGGTGCAATGTCTATTCATAGACTGTTGCAAATATATATATATATATATATATATATATATATATATGGTTGGCGGCATCCGGTTTCGGATTTGCCTGGCACTGTGGCAAGCCACAGGACGCCTGCGCCTACAGAGGGACCATGGATGGCTTGCGCTGCACCACCCACAGCTCCAACCACATACCCCATATCCAGTGTAAACCCGAAGGAATAAGACCGGGAGGCATGCGGATGGGAACCACGTTTCATCAACGGAGCCGGCCCACACTCCTTCACAGGCAAACACAAGCACGCTGTATTTGGGGAATCAACCGCACACAAGGCGGTGGCTGGACCGTAGTCCGCTCCACATTGAATGTATGGAACCGCTCTTCGAGCCTAGCACGGCCACAAGAACCGTGCACCCCGTCCCCTCCAGCAACGACCAACTGTCTCCTGGAGCCAGTATGGACGAGGTAGTGGGTAATAGACAGGTAGGCACCTTGCCAACATACACATCAAGTGCAACCATACCAGGGATATCAAACAACAGCCATTCAATTTAAACAACAAATTGAAATAAAATAAATCCAGTAATGCATACAGATACGGTGGCATAACTCTTCGCTAAATTACCAT